GCTCGAAGGTCCTGGTACCGGTACTTGTGCTCGAATAACCCAATGCCACGACCTTCCTCCTCCACCCACTTATCCGAACCTGTCCGACGACGACACCCAGTGCCCCCCCCGTTCGGGTGTCCCTATCCCAGTAGCAAGATTCCGCTCCATTGTGCACATTACCTCAAACACCTATTCCAAGAGAAACACTGCCGTACCCCCCCCGGCTGCCGGGTTCTGCTGAATGATTTTACCTAACTTAGACTCCAGTGGAAAACTGGGCACTGTGCTTGAGTACTCGAGTAGAGGAAGGGTTGAGACTAGACCGGTGGCAACCCAAACCCATGCAAGGAGATACTTGTAGGACGACGAAAACCAAACTCGTTGGTCTACAGCAATAGGAAGGTTTGAGTTTTACTCTTGTGGGGCTAGTCGTTCTTACGCTAGTTATTCACCTTTATATGCGATATTATCCCTGCATAAAACTAACTGAGCGTTTGGTGTTCACAATAAAAAAATAATAATTCTCTAACTAAAGGCGCCGATGGAGATGGAGTATCAATTCACTGAGGCCAAATTCTTGTCGCCCCCCCCCAACACAATGTGCACGATGGAGCAGAATCTTTAATAGCTCCTACTTTGGCATGATTTTTCTCCCTCTCGCCTCTGGCGAATTATTGCCGGGTCAGGTGGTATCGGTTGCGCGGCACTGGGAACGGTTGTTGGGGCACAGCAGCGTGGTAACTCGTATCTCGTTGGTTGACTAAGGCTGACCTCCATCCCTCCTTCCCCCACGTTGACCGAGACCTTTTCCTTGCTTTTCTCTTTGGTTTTGAAGCCTGTTTGCTTGGCGTCGAGCGTTGGCATCCCAGCTCGTTCCCTGGTGGTCATTTGGTTTCTCCCGCCTAGTGAATAACTTTCCTCGCTTTGACACTAGGCTACTCGAGCACAGGGGGCAAAAGTTTGTACTAACACAGTACGGTGCCGGCAATCGAGTGCGTGTAAGGTAAATTCTCTGCGCACATCTCATACCAAATTCGGACCCAAATGTTGAGGTTTATTCCTCGTATATCTGGTACTGTACGTGTTGAAGGTGCTGATCCCCCACCTTGATGCCCAATACTCGTAGTCCTCCTAATTCAAGCGCAAGTTTCGGACAGCTCGCCGGTATCCCATTATCTCCCAGTCTTGCAAAGAACAACGTGATCCCGTGTCGGAAAGTTGATTGTAAAAAAACCGTGAAACTATGAGTAGAAAATCCGAGTCCTCCAATATGCTCAAGGGCTACCCTATACAATTTATCCATCTTGCCTTGGTCCTACCGTGTCCCCGATAAGAGAGCCTAGAGTTATCTCAGACTTCTGGTTGATTCCAACCGCTTCTATCACTCTTTATCCCTGTCCAACCTTCAAACACTCATCAATAACATTAGCAGTGGAATTCAAAACATAGGCCTTCCACACCCCTGCCGCAACCCGAAAGCTAGGCAGCAATTGCCGCCCAATCTCTGCTTATCGGTAGGCTGTGATCTTCGAATTATGTGTGCATCGTATTGTAAGCAAATCCTTCTCAAACAGATCAACATCTACCCCGCTCACCCCACGAGGCGACGCACTAGCCCCCCCCCCACCCGCCATGAGGTCAGTTGGCAGGCCACGCCCAGATAAACGGGGATATTCGGACCTCTTCTAAATTATCAAACATCCACACCAATACCCCACGAACACCCAGGACGCAATTGTTACCATCACATCTTCTGGCGCTTCCGGGGATCGCGGGTTACTGCCGTAAGGTGCCTTGTGCGGAATGAGGCGGGGAATCCCCCAGTAGTCGGGTATAAAAAGGCGTCCGTTTCCCCCATCACTACATCTCTTCACCGGCAACAAAGCTTTCAACCTCGCTGCATATATATCAACAACTTTCAAACAATCAAACTAGCTTTTTAAACCCCCCCCTTTATACCAAACAAACATCAACATGGGTGGCTGCGGATGTACTACTTGCTGCTCTGGCACCTGCAGTGGAACTTGCCAAGGATGCGGATCTTGCAATGTCAACTCCCTCTCTCTTCCACCCTAAACTGTTGACTTTGGCTGACAACTTGTCCATAGCACTAAATTTCCTCCCCGAGATCGTTACGTGCACGAACTCCTTTGCCGTTCGACCTTCGACTTAGGGCAACACTGGTATTTCGAGGGTGGATGAGTGGTTCGGAGCATGGGTGTGGAGTTATCAGTCAGGGGTTTCTTTTCGATTTTGATTTTTATATCCGGCCGGATTAGTTCTGTTTTGCTTGTCAGTCCAATATAGCAACTTAAACCATCTCTGTTCCAACCCAATCGCTAGTGGAGTATAGTACCCGTCGTTGACACCCCCGATACCTAGTAAAAGTATTTCGTGACATCTAGTAATAGGAATCCATGCTCGACGTGAACATTGCATGTCATATGAACCGCCGTAACACTAGAGCAACTAGGACGCCGGATTATAATTGTGCCATTCTTGATGCGTTACCCACCAAAAGAAATGCAGCTTCGACCTAGCGACTCGGGTACGCTTCATTGTCAGACGGCAAGAGATCACTCTGCCCGGGTAGTCTCCCGGAATGGATAATAAACATGTGGAGCGGAAGTGCTGGTACCTTATCAGCGTCAAGTGACCCCGGCCCCCCTTTTTTCAAAAAAAAAAAAAATCCACCAAGTAGTATAACTATAGCAGAGAGAAGGAACGAAGGGGCAGAAGCCTGTGCTCAGGATGTCGAACACGAAGTGTAACCTGTCTATTAGTATCCCGCTCAATATGTCGAACACAAGTGAAATATGTCTCTTGGTGCCCTGATTATCCGCGTAGGAGCCAGTGGGTAGTCTGTGGCGTTGGAGGCCGAGGCCGAGAGCAAGAATCGTCGGTTATAATAGAGCAAACAAACATTGTATGTCGTGGGCGAAAGGGAGAATGAGGGTCTTTATAGAAAAGAGGGCTACGAGATGCCGTGCCCTCAAGAAAGCTGATAAAAGATACTGCGCAAGGGATTCTGACGTGGATAGTGGGGGGAGCAAGGTGTTTTGTGATGCACTGAAAGAGAGGGGCGGGAACCTTGGGGGCTACACCTAGCCACCAGGGTGTCAAACCAGTTGAAAAGTTTGATCATGAATCGCCGCGAGTAGGTATGACAGAAGATAGATTGCATCATATATATCGCTTCCAGCTGTTCAGGAATAAACCTCTAGGTGGGGTATCTACCGGTAGTAGAACGGGAGAAGAGATAAGACGGAATTTGCTCGTATTATATAATACTGAGCCGCAGAATCTGCAAGGCCTCCAAAGCCGCACCACAACCCCTCTGCAAGGATACGAGAATGAGGCTCGCGAAAGGGACGAATCCATTTCAGCTTCTCTTGACGGATGGAACCTAATAAGGGGTAGAGAGGGTCAAGAATGGTATGAAGAGTTGGTCCATTCTTCCGGCAAAGGTTAGTAGTATCATACAGTCGATGCGAAATAAGATGAAATTTCAATCGTTTGAATAAGCTTTGGGGGAAATGGGACATGGCCATCCGTAACCACTCTAGGATAGTGTATCAGATATGGTTCCCTTGGATTCGGTGAGAGGCAGGAAGTGGGGGGGGGGGGAGTAGGGAAGTATGATATCGTAGAAGTGTTGGATTCACCGGTCGGTTCTTCGGCGCAATATCATACCAGTACTTGTTATAAGTACTAGGGTTTAAGCGGTGGGGGACAGCGTCTCGTCAGCGCATCTACTTATTGCGTGCAATTCCCTCATGGCAATCAACAAACACCAACTTGGAAAAACGACTACGGTAGTTCTTATCTGATCAACCCCAGCTATCCCCCTCGCACATACAATCGCACCTCATTGTCCGGAACTCCATTCTTCGGCACAGTGGGGAGAGAAAGTTGGTGATTCTTGGGGTGAAAAAACCCATTTTGCATCTGCCGCAGTATTGATGACTTCCGTTTTAAACCGTCCATCTGAATAACACGTAACCCTTTTCTTCGTGTTTCCGTCTGCCCTTTAAATCATTTTGATGCGTAATGTCTCGGAAGCACTTCTCACCGGAACATTGTTGGTGATCTTTCATCCTCATTTTAGGAAGCGAAACGCGGGAAGAGCCGCATTTTTTCTACCAAGCCGGCTTGCTTCCACTTTTCCTTTCCATTCCTCGTGCCTCTATTCCTTCCCATGGGTAGTCCCTCCGGCTTCGCCACAGGAATCCGGTTCGGCGGAATAAGATTGTATGAGAGTAGGGGTAAGGTGCTTTCAAGTATCGTGGAGATCCGCAAACAACTATACCTTGTTTTCCGGGCCAAAGAGTGCTATAGAATCCCAATGGTTTTGGCAAGTAATCCGGTTTTGTGGGCTTCAGGGCAGCGAGGCGCCACCGCAGCTTCACCAGAGCGAGTTATACTGGATAAGCTACCCCCTTATTCTTCCCACAGTGTGCTGTTTCCTCGCACGGGAACGGATTCCGAATGGAATGGACAATTTGGGGCCACCTCGGGCCTCTTCTGCCCCGGATGGTGTGTGAATAGCTAACGGCACTCACTATATGTCCCGGTATATCCTGCCAAGGGCCTTTTCCCCCAGCACTCCTGCCAGAGGTAGTGATCATGGTACGCCGTGGTACAGTACAAGGGCGACGCACGCTGGGCCGTAAAACTATGTCCTCGGAACTTCCCTACCCGTAAGCCCTGCTAAGGTGCAAATAAAACAGTCTCTAGATGCCATGATAAATTGTGTTTAATTAGACTTCGCGCTAAGGCGTCCAGAATTTCCTCTGAATTATAAGGAGGAAAACACAGCCGACCTTATTAGGAGAGGCGACTCCGATCTCGGACGTGAGGTCCAATTCCTCCAGTTTTCATCCTGCTATCGCAACGTATTATTTGAGTATGATATGATACGGTACCCCAAGATTCTCCTGCTGACTCAGCTGAGGCTCCAAGAGGGAGCGGGCCTGATTTCCTTTGGAGGCCCGGCTCGAGCTGCAAAAAGAGGGGCAAAACATCTCTGACACGTTGCCACCCGCAAACTTCTAAATTTACAGTAGGCACCCTCAAGATCTACTCTCCCTCTTCCCGCACTTCGCATTCCCACTTCTTTAGGTACTCAGTCCTTCTGAAGGCTGTCCAAGCTGACTGGTAGGCTCAACTCTCGTTCGGAATAACGCTCATCAGTATACTACTCCATCGTGCGGCAGAGTTAGGTGACAGAATCACGCCAGGGCTCGGCCGTTGGCAAGAATCGTGCCCTCCAGGAAGAGTGTCTCGAAATCCCCAGAACCAACGCCAAGCTATCATACATAAGGTACCTGGAGTCTGTCTCGCTTTCCCGGACATTCAAGTGCAGCGAGGCTTAGGCTTTTGCCTTAAGAGTCAATTCACACCTTAACCATTGATTTGTACTAGTTAAGATCTCTTCCCATAGATACATAGATAATTCGGCAAGCAAACTTACTGCGGAAGATTCAGCGCACGATCGTTATGAACCCCTCCATTGAATCGACTAGCGGTGGCTCGATACGCGAGCGAATGGCAATGCTACAGCTAAATCAAGTCAGGCGCAACGCCTCAACGCCGCCTACAAGAGTGGGACCGCCCGCACCCCCACCTCTTCCCCAGAAGAGAGTCCCACCTCCGCTCCCCACAAGAAAGATGAGTCGTTCATCGCTGGCCAGCTGCTCCAGCTCCAGCTCCAGCTCTGGTTCGGACGGGGGCAGCATCACTACTATTGGGTCTAACCCTCCGGGGAGGTCGCTCCCACCACCTTACACTGGCGAGGAATCTCTACCCGTACAATTTGCAGAGAAACCAAAGGTCCACGAACAATTGACAAAAACCCCGCCTTCGCTCCCGGCAAGGTCGAAGACAGCCCCTGTGCTTCCTCCACGAGGTTTACCACCTCCTCCCCGAGGTCCACCACTACCTTCTAGGGCTAATATGAGCCCAACGCGAAACCAGGAACGACCCCAACCAATCCCTCGACGATTGCCTCCGCCACCCTCGAGTTCCGTCCCCCCTCTCCCAAACCGACTGAAGCACCCCGCCGAATCTCATCCGGAACCTATCAGCTCCCGTAGCCCACCACCAATCCCCAGGTCGACCCGCCCACCACCGGTGCCCCTCTCTACTCGCCCAGATCTGAGTTCTTGTCTCTCCCCTGCTAGGCCATGCCTTGTTTGTTACGACTTTTCAGGGCCGGACAAGCACGCGTCACTACCTCAATTCGAGAGGACTCGTGTGGGATCATTGCAGCAGCTAGCGATCGGCTTAATAAGCCCTTTTTCAAGCACGCTGGATAGGGCAAGGACAATATTCACGTGGTTACACTACAATGTTTCCTACGATGTTCATGGTTTTCTCAATGGGAAAATGGCATCTCAGGACCCCGAGGGAGTGCTCCAGAGTGGAACAGCCGTGTGCGCCGGATATGCTGGATTGTTTAACAAACTTGCTACCTATGCGGGGTTGGAATCAAAGGTGGTCTCGGGTCATGGAAAGGGCTACGGGTTTAGTCCTGGAGAGCCCTATAAAACGAACCATGCCTGGAGTGCAGTAAAAATGGATTGGGGCTGGCATCTAATTGACTGTTGTTGGGGAGCAGGCTCCATCAATGGCCCCCCAAATCCGGGTTACAATAAACGCCTAGCACCAGAACACTTTATAAGCCCTCCCAACGTCTTCGGCAGACGTCATTTTCCGGAGGATTCAAGTTGGCAGTGCAGAGAAGACGGGAGGATAATAGACTGGGAGGAATATATGACTCCCGACCAGGAAGAGCCCGAGCCACTGCGTTACTTACCCTTTGGGGAAGAATTTGGGTTCTCGGAGAAGGCAGTACAACCTCCCGTCAATAATATTGACGCCTTCGTCGGGAAGAAAACAGTGTTCTCCCTTGGCCTTCCATGCGAACATATGTCTCGGAAAGAAGAATGGGTGCTCTTCCTAGTCATAGGCGAGTTCGACGATGAGAACTGGATGTTAATGGACAGCGACGGGCGGGGGCGATATCAAATTGAGGTCCAGCTGCCGAATCAGCGAGGGCTCAAAGTCGGCTTGTACCATGCTGTGACATGGAAGGGGAATGATGCCAAAGGATTGTCGGCGAAGGAGTGGCAGGCCGAGGTCGGAAAAGTGGCATGGAGTTGGTGTCCTATCATTATTTGGGGTGCCGATAAATAGTCCTAAACCGGGGAAACGAATCTATAGATTGTTAGAGTCACGTCCCAACGGGTTCGAATTCGTAATTACTATTACTGTCGGGTTTTATTTTGTTTTTCCAAATAATATGACCTGTGCCCGCGGGCTTTAGCTGTCGGTGGGGTTGATGTGAGAGAGATCATTCCCGATAATTCGCTTTATTATAGTGCGGGGGCATAGGAGTCATGGTTCGCGGACAGGTGTTTCAAACAGCTTGAATCGCAAATACGCTTGCAAAATAGTCTTAGATCCATGTATCATATAAGCAGCCGGTGTGGTTCCTTGCGGTGAACTCTACGTCCCATGGGCAGAGAAGATTCGAAGCAAATTGATTCCAATCAACCAAAATTCTCCGGCTTAATTCTATTTCCACCATGGTGGAGAGGGCATATTAGAACGGCGCACGCTGCACACAATCTTCTAGCATGCGCAGGAAAGCTACCACCAAGCTTTGAGCATTTCGAGGGTACGGTACAATAGAACCAGTAGGGGTATTCAGAGTTAAAACGATGATTTTTCAGCAACAAGTAAACAGGGAAACACGTATCAGTCAACCTTATGCTTCTAGCCAATTGTACTGCTATGTTCCATATAGTTTGTTTGAAAACCCCCACAAACGCGACAGGATAATAGTACAAGTAAAATAGATGCTAAGTTTACCGGTCGAAGTTACAACTTTTAATTCCAATCACCCGGTTTGTTCTTAATTATTGTCTTTTCCTGCCCTGTATTTTAAATAAGTGAAACAAAATCCTTATGACTCGGAAACTATTTACTATTAACTATTTACATTCTCTTAGGAACGGTGTACTGCAAACCTCACGAGATGCCCCAAAACTTAAAATGGCGGGTCGAAGCTAATTTGCCAACCGGAACACAAAGTTTATCTCGGGGGGGACCAGGGAATAGCATAACGGTAATGTGAGCAGAATCGGATGGTATCATACATAACTTAGCCGTTACGGAGTAGTTGTATGAAAGGTTATGTACTTTCGTAAACTTCGTCCTCTTACTATGCTCGCGTCCCCCTCCATCTGAACTAATGGTGAGAACGGGGGGTATATATGAAGCATAAAGAAATCATCCTAATCCTCCCATGGACCGGCAGACATATCCGCTCCCAACCCTGCGCATCCCGATTCCCCCGCCCACTTCCCGTGATAGCGGGGGGAAGGGACATGTCCGCAGAAGACTCTCCGTATCATAACTCACCACAAAACTCCGGGACAATGGGAGCCTCGCGACATTCCTGTGGCCCCCAGAATTCACCACGACCCACCATCTTTCTCCACAAACTCTAGCAGTACTAGGGCGATGCTGAGGAAGTCGTCAGCAAAAGGGTGAAGCCCAAGGAATTCTCTGTGGGAGTTGGAACCACAGATATGGGTGGAGATTGGATAGGTGGCGAGGGGATCTAGAGGTTTACATCTTCGATGGGTCGCATTTCGTTTCGGAGAGATTAGGTATACTAAATACGTGGTTGAGTAAGCGCTTCGATCATTCTTGGTCTATAAGAGTTTGGACTTGGGTATCCATTAAATCGAGAGGTATTGCATCATGGAATATCACTCGATATGATCTTAGATGATGATCCGGACAGCCCCAAAGCAGCATCTTGAAGTCGTAAACAGACTCTTGGAGCCAGGTTTGACTCTGTGATCAGATGTTCAGTATGCCCTTGGAAGACATCTTCTCACCAAGTAGAAGAACCTCGCAAACCTCACAAAGGGCAAATTTTCATACACCAAGCTAACTTAAAATACCAGAAGCCGACATGATGCTTCAGACACCAGCAAGATCCCACAAACTCCAATACCCGGCACAAAGCTAACAATTGAATATGTTTTTACCAAGTTAGGTACCCCTGCAAAACACATAAAACCTTATATTATTATTTTTACACCAAGCCTGGTGTAATGATCCCCCTTTGGATAGTTAGTTCTTGGTGATGGGGAATGATACTTCTCTTCTTCTTTTGCAGTATGATAGCTCTTAGGTCTATGCCTATGTTACTGATAGTGCAAGACCGATGTCTTCTATCTGTAACACTTATCATAAGCTTTCTGTAACTCTACCTTGTGCAGAGATTTTCTCGTCTTAGTAGCAATAAAGGTCGTGATAATAATAAAGAGTGTAAAGGTGTTTTATATTTGTTAAAATAATAAGTAGAAAAAGTACTTAGAATTCAATCTAATTTTATTTATACTAGTACTGCCAATACTCGCATATGACTAGTCTCCCCTGCACCCCATAAAAAAAGCTAAGTAAAATACACTATCGTAGACTTATTCCGCCTAGCGACCCCCCTTTCCAGACATAAATCCAAAAATCACTACCTTATATGGGCTCATGGTCACTCACAGTGACTGGCACTATTTCAGATTTACACATCTTCCCATCTTGCTGCCCAACTACCATCTCATACCCTCACTCCTATCTGCCTCCAACACAATTTGTCCCACATATTCAACAAAGGAAACATACAGTCTATCCCAACACCCCTCCATCCTCTTGTAATGTAAACCCAGATCAAGATAGCCCCTGGCCAAAACCAAACCACAAACTTTATGATTACATGACCACGCCTAGCCATGATGCCTACAAGCCATCCTATCCGCCTTCGTTGCATGGCCCACTTCCCCACAGTTCAGTATCCCTTGTACTGTGCATTCAAATATTGCTTGAGCTTGTAGGATCTAAGTTAAATACTTGAGGAAATACTGTAAAATTAAGCCACAGTACTACTTGTCGGAGTTGGAAAAGGTGTGTCGAACTCTTGGTACCAGATTGCATCCTAAACATTTATTCAATTATAGCTAACGCAGGGAAACAATTGTAACCACCGTAAAGATCCCAATACCCCACAACCCTGGGTACAGTGCTTGAGTATAGTACATAGTACCGGTACTCATGCTTCTGGTTCATTCTCACTTCACTTACCAAAATTCTGTAGCCAGCATTTTTCCTTGAAAAGACACATGAGTACCGTGCCCATGCCTTGGAACATTATGCAGTTGGATAGATTAATACCATATATTTATCCTAGCTAAACATATCCGTTGGATAGAGAGCCCAGTTGGAAAACTCCCATACCGGTACTGGATAGCACCGTACTGGTACCACAGTTAAGATTGATAAGGTCACAACTCGTATTTTGAAATAAGTGTTTCCCTGGTACAGTATAGGGTACAGGGATAAAGTATCCAAACAGTTAGTTTAGGTTAACCTGCAAAATAAACCCTGTTCTGCACGAATTATTATTTTTTGACTTGTTAAAGGTCTCATATCGTGTGTTCCACATGTCACCTTAGCCAGCATCAGATACACAACATAAAACAATAAAAACAATTAATTCCTCCTTCTCCTTTATCTCCGGTACTTGCATGAAGTAGTGGGATCCCCACCCATCTTCGGTATGTAAGAATACCATGTCTGTTATTTAATCCCCCCCTGTTTTGACCTCACCCTAACCTTATCTAGAATAGTTAGTTGATATTTCAGTACTCGAGTACATACATGAATAGTAACGCCATAAAAGTGTAAATTTCAACCAATTCCCAAATACATTATTCTATCCACGTAAACACGAAAGTAGCTCCTAGTGCAAGACCGAAGCTAAATGAATTAATACCACTATTTCTTGCATTTGTACCGGAGCTGGCACCAGGGTATCTAGTTCCATTTTGCAGGGACAGCAAACATGGAATGCACGAGGTGTTCTGAGGTATACATGTTGCTGTCTTGATTGGGGATGGTTCAGGGCTTTGAGGAGCATTTAGCACAGTTGGAGCAGTCCTGCCGATACCTATTCAAACACACCCACTCTGTCTACTACCTGTCCAGCCAGTTCCGGTAATACTTGGACATAATCTGGAGCTCAGAGGAGCAGTTGAAACAGTTGGAGCAATATTGCCGATAGCTATCCAAATGTACCCATTCTGGCCACTACCGCCCCAGCCGGTTCTAGTGATACTGGGAGATAATCTGAAGCTCGGAGGAGCAGTTGGAACAATTGGAACAGTCCTGCTGATACCCGTCGGAACACATCCATTCTTACCACTGCCGGTACACAGAGTTCCATTGATGAAGAAGTACAAATGACTTGTTTTAGTGGTCAATATTGCATTCAGCGATGTATTGTATACAAGGGGTCTAGAGTCAGTTAGCCATAGTAGTAACTAGATATACTGTGAGAGTAAGGTGTTATAGTATGCAATTTTCTGTCTCAGCATAGCTTGTTCCAGCAAGCAATATAGGAGTGTATGCAATGAGGATATCATTACTTTAGAGTATGCTTCATGAGAGTGTAGGGGCTACCTTTTGAATAGCATGATTTGATGGATAGGAGGGTTGGTTATAATAGATAGTTGCTAATACCCAGTAGGCAGAGCACTCCTTTCAGAGCTGGAGGAGCCAAAAATGACAGGGTCCAAATCCAGAATGTAGTACCGGAAAGGCCCTCCTTCCTACAGTACCAATTCACATAAAAGTGCTAGACCCTAAACCTTTGTACAAACTGAATCATTCAAGATAACAACAGGTATCTGTCATGAATGTGGCTTGGCATGGAAAAGGTTTTCATATGACTCATGATTATGAGTCATAGGTATGTTATTGTTTCACACATAGGACTCATTTAGGTCATATGATTTATTGTGTTATGATTTGTTATGTTTTGCACATGACTTGATTATGAGTCATGGGATGTGCGCCTGGCAAGTGTGCCTTGTGAGTGTGCCTTACGGGTATGCCTTGCGCATATGATTTACGTTTTGCACGTAATCTCATTATGGAGTTATGGGTTTTGCGCATGTTCCCACTTAGGGTCATATGACTTGTTTATTGCGTTATGATTGGTTTATGAGTTTTCGCACATGACCTCGCTATGAGGTCATGGGTTTTGGACATGTGACCACTTTGGTCACATGATTAGTTTGTTAGGATTTACTTTTGCGCATGTGACCACTTTAGGTCACATGACTTAAGGCGGGAAGAGTACTATAGAAGGAGGATGGTACAGCCTAGGAGGATAGGCTCTTCACACTTTATTCTAAGTACTTTTCCTTGTCCTTGCCATCACTTCGCCCCGAGTATTTCTTTCACATTCACGGTAGACCATGATGCCTTGGATTTTGGGGGAGATATCTGAGTTCGCTTAGTAGTTCCTGGAGTTCTTGGTATTGGGGTCCGTTGACGTGGCATGGCGGATTACTTGTT